TCAACTTTATTTTTCACCAAAGGTATACTATGACTGTGAAAATTTGGTGTCATTTGATTACAGCAAGTCTCAGAAGTATTGGGGCAGCCAATTTGCAAACTCGCTAGCGAATTGGTTAACTGCTTGGGTTGGCTTTCGAATCTCGCTGGCACCGTCTTGTGATCACGCCGACTTACGGCAAATCTATATAACAGTAGGGGACGATCGTCATACTTGAGGAGTTAATCAGCGACGGTTTTACAGTTGGGTGGTGATTTCGCTTTCAAATGTACTAGGGAAAGTGTTCTATTTCTTTTGTATCCACGTAAAAATAACAAATGGCTTTTTCAGCGGTCGGCTTAATTTTACTCCAACGGATCTTTTGTATGTGAAAGTTTGTTATTTTCTCCCTGATTTGTAGGAAAATGTTTCTCAACTTGACTATATAAATTTTGTAGTTTCAAGCAGTGTTCAAGATGGCTACCCCCCATATAATATCGGTGAAATAATCGCATTTATCATATTATCACTTGTACGCCAGCTGACTGGTTATTTCCAGGCTCAAACCAGGGGCTCAAATTACTCAGGGGATTCCAGACATGTACCAGGCTGCGTAAAAAGCATTTTATGTCCCCTACTGCAATATAGACTCACCCAGAGTGGACGCGATCACAAGTCGGCGCCAGCGAGATGCGAAAGCCAATCGTTTAGTCAAAACCCAAGCAGTTAGCCAATTTGCTAGCAAGTTTGCCAATTGGCTGCCCCAATACTTCTGAGACTTGCTGTAAAGGGTTGGGTGACAAGAGAATTTTGTAAACAGTCATAAAATATTAAACAGTTTTTTTAGCTCCGCTGTCGACTTTGTCGAGCGGAGCTTATCATACGAGTGATTGTCCGTCGTCGTCGTCTGTGTCAATGTTTTACTTTTTCGACTTCTTCTTGAAAACTACAAGCCTGAATGCTTTGATACTTGGTGAATATGTACCTTGGGTAGACCTCTCTCAGATTTGTTCATTTCATGTTCATATCTTCAATTCTCTAATTTTGGTGAATATTTTTGTAATTTTTGGTAAAAAGTGATATTTTCGACTTCTTGTTAAAAATCGCAAGTCCAATTGCTTTGATATTACATATATAGGTACTACATGTGTATCTCTCTCAGATTTGTTCATTTTGTAATGATATCTTCAATTCTCTAATTTTGGTGAATATTTTTGTCATTTTTAGCTCCGCTGTCGACTTTGTCGAGCGGAGCTTATCATATGAGTGATTGTCCGTCGTCGTCGTCGTCGTCCGTGTCAATGTTTTACTTTTTCGACTTCTTCTTGAAAACTACAAGCCTGAATGCTTTGATACTTGGTGTATATGTACCTTGGGTAGACCTCTCTCAGATTTGTTCATTTCATGATGATATCTGCAATTCTCTAATTTTGGTGAATATTTTTGTCATTTTTAGTAAAAAGTGATATTTTCGACTTCTTGTTGAAAACCGCAAGTGCAATTGCTTTGATATTACATATATAGGTACTACATGTGGACCTCTCTCAGATTTGTTCATTTTGTAATGATATCTTCAATTCTCTAATTTTGGTGAATATTTTTGTAATTTTTGGTAAAAAGTGATATTTTCGACTTCTTGTTGAAA